TATATATATATTTTATTGATTTCAGAGAGGAAGGGAGAGGGAGAAAGAGAGAGAAACATCAATGATGAGAAAGAATCATGGATCGGCTGCCTCCAGCATGCCCCCTACTGGGGACTGAGCCCTGACCTGAATCAAACCGTGACCTCCTGGTTCACACCAATCAGGCAAAACACATTAAAAAAAAAAAAGAGTCTCATCATACTTCCCCAATGCTCTCATATGCATGAATGTTCCGCATAACTGTCACAACAGAAATTCGAGGTGAGCAGGGCTGGGTGTCACCCTGTGTCATAGTCAGAAAAGATGAACCTGCCCACCAGGCCCTCAGGCCGGTTAGAGGGCAGTGCCAGGACCTGGTGATGCACCACACAGCTGTTGTGCCCAGGGAATGCACCAAGGGCTTCCATGTGGGGCATCAATATGTATGCATATGAGGAACTCTGCCCAGAAACACACTCTTGACTCTCTAAGGCGCATAACCACAATGCTCGGGCTATTTAACTGCTTGCCAAGACTGCCCATCTTGTCCAGCCAATGTGCCTCAGTGTTTGACATCGACCGACCCATGAACCAGGAGGTCATAGTTTGATTCTCGGTCAGGGCACATGCCAGGGTTGTGGGCTTGATCCCCAGTGAGGGGCGTGCAGGAGGCAGCCAATCCATGATTCTATTTTATCATTCATGTTTCTTCTATCTCCTCCCTTCCTCTCTGAAGTCAATAAAAATATATATCCTATATAATAAAAGCCTAATATGCAAATTTACTGAATTTTCAGAACAACCAGCAGAACGACCGGTCACTATGACACACACTGACCACCAGGGGGCAGATGCTCAACGCAGTTGCTGTCCCCAGCCCGCAGGCCCCAGGCCAGCCAAGGCGGGTGCCAGCAAGGGCCCCCTGATCCCCCTGCCAGTTGCCCCACACATTGGTACTGATCACCGGCCAGGCCTAGGGACCCTACTTGCACACAAATTTTGTGTACCGGGCCTCTAGTTTTAGATGGGAAAAAAAAACTGCCCATCTTTCGAACATTCTGAGTTTTGTCCACTAGAGGAAACCAGCAAGCCGTATCCAGGATCCTTCATAATCAAGAGTCATCATTTGGGCTGAGACCTGGGAATAAACTGCCTTTTGGGTTTCAGGATGCACTCCTGTGTGTGAGCATCCTAGACTCCACTCTCTTCCCAGGATCGGTGTGTCTCATCTCACAACTACAGTCAAAATTTGTTTCCTTTTTTAAAAATTTTCCCACCAGATTTCTTTTTCTCTTTTTTAAAAGAATTCATTATTGTTGAAAGTATTACATATGTCCCCTTTTCCCCCCATTGCACCCCTCCAACCCACCACTGCCTCCCGACCCTGGCCCTCACCACCCCATTGTCTGTGTCCCTGGGCCATGCACAGACGCATACAAGGTCCTTGGTTGATTACCTCCCACCACCCACCCTCCCCTGCCTTGCCTCCGAGGTTCCACACTCTGTTCCATGCTTCCATGTCTCTGCATCCACTCTGATCATCAGTTTATTTTGTTACTTAGACTCCACATAGGAGTGAGGTAATGTGATGAGACACATTCTTCACACGATTGACATTAAAATGCTCTTACCTTTTCCAGGTCAAGAAAGTGGTCATCTAGTTTCATGCCTTCAATGTCATTTATTTTTTCCCTAATTAGCTGCAGAAATAAAGACAAATAATTATAATATACGATTTGTGACCACAGTATCTGACACAAATTATCTCTCACAGATACACACACACACACACACACACACACACACACACACACACACACACACACACACATATATTTTACTTAGAAAGGACACACACACACACTCTCAGATTTTTGTATTTGCTTTTTCTTTGTTTTTTTTGTATTTGTTTTTTCTTTGTTTTTTAAATGTATTTTTATTGGTTTCAGAGAGGAAGTGAGAGGGAGAAAGAGAGAAACATCAATGATGAGAGAAACCATGAATCAGCTGCCTCCTGCATGCCCCACACTGGGGATGGAGCCCCCAACCTGGGCACGTGCCCTGACCAGGAATTGAACCCAGACCTCCTGGTTCAACAGTCCACGTTCAACCACTGAGCCACTCTAGCCAGGCCTGTTGGATTTCTTTTGGACTCAGTCCTTTAAGAAAATTACTGGAAGGAGTAACCATATCTGAGGACACATTAAGGTACACAATATCACTCGCTCAACAGATGTTTATTATGCTCCTACTGTAGGTGAAAGCACATGTAGGCTCCAGTAGAAACAAAAACAAATAGATTGCCCATTTGGTGTGGCTCAGCGGTTGAGGGCCGACGTAAGAACCAGGAGGTCACAGTTCCATTCCCAGTCATGGCACATGCCCAGGTTGCGGGCTCGATCCCCAGTGTGGGGCATGCAGGAGGCAGCTGATCCATGACTCTCTCTCATCATTGATGTTTCTCTCTCTCTCTCTCTCTCTCTCTCTCTCTCTCTCTCTCTCCCTCTCCCTTCCTCTCTCTGGAATCAATAAAAGTACATTAAAAAAACAACACGCCGCCCTGACCAGTTTGGCTCAGTGGATAGAGCGTCGGCCTGCAGACTGAAGGGTCCCAGGTTCAATTCCGGTCAAGGGCATGTACCTTGGTTGTGGGCACATCCCCAGTAAGGAGTGTGAGAAAGCAGCTGATAGATGTTTCTCTCTCATCGATGTTTCTAACTCTCTATCCCTCTCCCTTCCTCTCTATAAAAAATCAATAAAATATATTTAAAACACACACACACCAACAAAACAAAACAAAAAACAACCAAAATTAAAACAAATAAGAGGGACCGTTGTCATCCCTGAAGCCAGAGTTCCATCAGAGTTGCTATAAAGACATTCAAGTAAAGTACAAGGAGGGACAATGAAAACAATGGAAGAGACTAGT